CCATATTACCTAATCTGCGCGTCAGTTGACTTTGAGATACTAAAACGTAATTAAGATGAAATCAAAACGTGTGCCTTTACTTCAAGGTTAAGAATGTTTGTTTTAATCTCGAGATGTTTTTTTGTAAATCCCACTGCGCTTATTTCTCTGGTGTCTCGTTAATATGAACACCCTCGTTCCCGCACAATGCGCCAAGAAACTGACTTCTTCCTCATAACGAGGCGAAATTTCAGGTGTCAACCCAATCCGTTAGCCAAAATTATATCTGCAGTATATGATAACGTGGTCCGTATTAACGAGAGGGCCTTGTGCCACACAAGAACGATCACCTGTTAATCAGCCTGTCACCATTCTGACGCACCAGTTATCTCTGTAAAAATAATAAGTTGCGGTGTTCTTGACAGTGCAAACTAACGAACTGTTGCCGAACACTCAGTTTCAGCCTAAGCGTTTAACACGATTTCGTGACCAGATGTCAAAGTTTCAGAGCCTGCCGTTGTTTGATCCAAGACTTCGAAGCGAACTTCAGAACTTTTCATTTAAAAAACGTGCCCCTTTCCCGGTAGCCGACACGATTTATCTGCCTAGATTCGTAGTTTTCGTCAGCTGCCTTTTTTTACTTTAGAATCTTCCGAAAACCACTCGTAACTTTTGAACATAACAACGGCAAGCTCTGAAAGTTCGGCAACCGGTCCGAACCGCTAGCGGAGCAGCTTTACGAAGAGTGAGAGTTCGGTAACGCATAATTGATTTTTGCAGTCGAAAAAATAATAGACTAAATATTTAATGGCGATGACGGGAAGAACACAAAACACAAAACTGGAATGCGTCACAGGGCAGCGAACATCGGATCCCCCTCCTTAGCCCTCTTGGAGGCCTACCTTGCCTTCCTTCGACCGTAACTTCAGTCATGACCTCACCGCCTCTTTTTCTCCTTCACCAGCTCGTAGGGCTCCTTCTGCTCCTTTCGTCCCTTCCCCGTCTCTCCCCTCTCCTGCCCCTTCTCTTCCTCCTTTTTTTCCTAGTGCTAAATGGTTTCCCTTCCCCTTCCCTGATCAAGCGTCCTTCACCTCCCTCCTTCTTCGGGAGAAAGATCCCGTCCCATCCGGATTGTCATGAAACGTCTGCTGCCAGTTGGTAAACCGCCTCGACCGTCCATGTGTATTGTGTTCGTCCCAAATTTTATATTATCCTTATCAGCACGGTGTAAATTCAAAGCTGTAAATATTTGTTTCAAGACACCGGGTAGCTACCGGCTGAAGAAAGCTAGCTATTCTGATGCGAGCCTTAGTGGGCTAGTTATTCACGTCCAAACCAGTTTCCCCTTAATATTCTTACGTTAATACCATATAACTCCTTTGATTCACGAATATAGCTTTTTACTAGTTGTGTATATTTGTTTCCCCGCTCTCCAGGTTCGGGAGCATGATTTTCCGAAGTGTCAGAGATAATCGCTAAGTTATTCCACTAGCAGTTACAGAAGAAACAAAATTGACATCAGAAGTGAGGACATCGTCTATACACACAGCTCTTTGGAGTTCACATTATACGAAAGGAAGCTAATAAAAATATAAACCTTAGTGGTTAAAATTATGTATGTATCCTTCTGACGTATCAGGAAGTAACAATATATAATTTACGAATAAGCTCGTTCAAATCACTGGAAGTTTGGTTATTGATTTTAAGACTTCTTCATGTTTACGTTCCCGGAAGACAGTCTGGTTCTCGGTAAGAATCATCATCAAACGTGGAAATCGTTTTCTCGAAAGCAACTTTTTGGTTACAACAGCAACAAAAAAAAAACTTCAATATTTGTTTTAATAGTTTAAGGCGGATGTTGATATTTTTCGACCCCAAACAACCCAGGGGCAAATGACTAAAATTTTCTCTTCAAGTTCGCACAGTAAGATAGATGGACCGTCATTTTGAGGCGTTGAATCTCATAAATAATTGCCATATTCAAAGACGTCTCAAAACTAGTATTATCTGCAAGAGGAGAGATTCTAAAGTGTCTAAGATGCGGTACGTCTAGAAATTCATTAATGGAAAACAATTAATTGAAGCACGATGGAAAACAAGCTTCACTAATGCGAAGAGATTATTTAACCGAAACTACGGCAAAAATAGAAAATATTCATTATTCCTAAAACCTAAAACAAGGAGCAAACCTTTTAATATAACCGGATTTCCAATCGAGAAAAAAGACAGAGTTAACGCAAAACGTTAGAAATAAAGGTCCGTACAATGCGGGGAGGATCATCAACAATCTTATATTACATCTTCAATGAAGATAAATAAAAAAAAAGCATCAAAAAAGAGGATGAACCCCGAAGCTCATTACATATTTAGCAAATAAAGTATTCTAATTATCAGCGTTTCTGAGCTGAGCTTAATCAAGAGCGCTCCAGCACTCAGTCTTCACAGAAGGCGAATCTTCAACTGTTATTAATATTTTTATTTAAAATAGTACAAAGAGGATTATACTTTCTTTTTTAATTGAGGTTCCCTCAGTATCATTTACTAAAAAGTAGAAAAAAATGGCGGGGTTTAGTGATTAGACCGAACGAAACTGGGTACTGGCGAAAAAAAAAAAATAGGGTGGAAAATTGAGGGGCAGTCGGATAGATCGAGCCCCTCGATTTGCTCCCGGAAAAATTCGATAACTCATTCAGTTAAGCCTCGCCGGCTCAGACGCGTTTCACGCCATTCTGAGCTTCAGTTAGAACTTGGATTGTTCTATTTGGTGGACTAGCTGAACTACATTCGGTGAGCAAGTTTGTCTGCTCTTTAACACAGAAGCAGAGTGACGTCAAGGCCCCAAGTGCTGATTAGAGGATTTCGCGGGTAGTGTACATTTGCTGTGTCCTCCAATAACAGTTAGCAAGTTTGTCTGCCCTTTGCGCAGGGGCAGAGGGACGTCGCGGTGCCAAGCACTCCCTGGATGATGTAGTGCATAAAAGAGAGACAGGCTTCTTCCTTTGTGTCTACCCACTGTGCACACCAATCAGAGCACGCCAATTCGTCTGCTCTCTACGCAGAATGTGCGGGGGCGACTCCGGTGTATGTGTGTGTAAATATTGCTTTTATTATAAATTAAAAGAAATAAATAGAAAGAGGGATGCAAGACGCATTGTTAGTCACCCATGGAGGGGTCTGGTTCGTCGTCTTCCGGGGATAGGGAGAAAAAGAGGATAGGAGGTAGGAGATGATAATGGGGATGAGCGTATTTACAGAAATGCAGGGTATGGCCGCGGATACAATGAAAGGACAGGTCGCATCCCCCCGCCGCCCCAACCGCAGCCGGAGCGCACGCTCCCCGGCTGGGCGCCGACTTCAAGAAGCCAAAGCGCCACAGGGGCACGAGCGTCCCTGCCACGATCAGGGCGACAGAGCGAAACACCCTCCGCTTCGACCCATCGGAGACCATAGTATGAAGGCACGTCGTATGCTATTTAAAAGTCTGGATGACAGGTTTGTCGCTCCCAAAAAGTCCATGAGGGCTTTCAGTATATTCGTTCTTCTCGACCGGGATCCTGATGGGAAGAGGAGAGCGTTGGAATCCCCCGGCGAAACATAGAGGCCCTTCAGTGTTTTGGTTAATGTGGCTCGCTCTGTCTCTAGCGACTGACACTCCCAAATGATGTGTTTTCTGCCTTCGATGATGTTGCATGTGTCTTCAATGTTTTGTTTCAATTTACGATGGAATACAGTGGACGCTACAAATAATTTCGACAATCCAGCGCTATTACTGTGTCTCGTCGTTGCGTCGTTGTGCCCGTTTGAGAGGACACGGGGCAGCCATACTGCATGAGATATGTTCCTCCTGCCTGTAGTATTCGCTAAGGCCGTTAGAAAGGCGAAACGTGGTGTAGTTGTAGCACTAGAAACCTTTCATTTTATCCGTCTTTTTTTTAAATAAACCAGTTCTTTACGAACGAGAAATCTGTCTTCGAAAAAAATAGCTTAAATAATTTCATGAGCACGTTTTTTCTGTCTACTACTAAGTACAAGGCGCGATACAGCGAACGAAAAACTCAAGGTCGATGTGGCGTTTGCTATCCGCAGAAGAGAGCATCATCTGTTGTGGGAGAGCTTAAAAACACGCAAGATCACGAGCAATAATTATTTCGCGCTTCCTCTCTGCTGAAAGAGCCATCCTACGTTTTCGTAACTCTTCTCTCATATAGCAATAAACGCGTTTTGCTCGACTCGGTTGCCGCGTTAGTCTAGGTTATCGAACGACGGCAACTTTCGTGTGGATCACATTTGATTGTTTGGGTCCGAGTTCGCGAACTATGATTATATATATATATATATATATATATATATATATATATATATATATAAAAAGGTAGAACGAGTTGGGAGTGCACGTGATCAAAAAGGGTTAATTCAAAAATAATATGTGACCAAAAAAAAAAATAAAATAGGGGGGTCGCAGTGCTCGAATAAAGGACTTTTTTCTTCACCTTCGCGCTTGAACCAACTTGGGATCTGCCAGTCATATTTTTGTTAATTTAAAAATGCCGCGCTTTCGAGTTGCGGCAACACAAAACGCGTTCTACGAATTGTTTTCCTAATTGCTTTTACATTAAGAAAATATTATCTCAACGTGTGTAAATCCTCCTTCTAAATTGCTTTCGTATACACACATGAAACAAAAACAAAAAAAAAAAACATTGAATTGGGCCAGTTATGTCGACTTCAAAGAATTTAAGGGTTAGTAATCAAGAGCGTAATGGCATGTTCAACTCCGTCCTAAATCTGCATTACGCAAGATTAAGTCGCAGTTCTGCTGCACGCAGTGCACTCAGGGAGGAACTGTCAGGCTGGGTTACGGCTTCACAGCGGTGAGGTAGCGGTGCCTCATGTACTAAAATTCCTTTCCACGTGAAAACAGAATAAAACTGAACTGCGATAATAACGCATTATGTTTCTCGTTTAAAGGGTCGGCTCACGAAATCAAATATTAGGTATTGCATTCTGTGCATGAGGCTCACCTTTCAATCACGTGCTTCAATGGCTGACCAAATCACCGGAAGCAAATCTGCGAAAGAAAGAGAAAAAATGTTGAGGCGAAACGATTGCAATTGTTTTAATGGAACTTTTTTTTAATACCCATTTTGGAGCACAAAAAACGGTAAGTGTATGCATTTAAAACCCGTAAGGAACAGGCATTGGGAATGTGAAACAAATATTATGCCAGTTAGTGCTACCGAGAAATGATCGGGTTTGTCGTTAAAGATCTGCTTTTAACTGCCTTGAGGATTATACACCTCCGTCGTACCCATAATTTTCTCATAAAACATATTTAGGAAGTACGAGCTAAATAAAAAAGTTTTATAGATATAAACATCCAATTATTGTGTATTCGCAACCATTTGGACACTTCTAACATGACGAAGCTTTAGTGCCCGTAGATATTTATTTGGCATATTTTTCACACCGGTTCGCAGGCAGCACATGTTCAAAACCCAATATATTAGTAAGTTAATAAAGATGTAGTTTTATATACAGTAATGTGTCGTCAATATGGACGACTCCATTCCCACCAAAAAATCGACCATAATATGAGTTGCCCATATGAACGAGTAAACAAATTCACGTATTTCGCAAGTATCTCTCCGAAAATGGTGCCCATATAGTGCGATACACGTATTGACTGGTCACAAATAAACGAGACATGACTTTATCAGCGTCTGCACATAATCTCTGAATGGTACTTTTGAACTAACCTGCTTGAGTACACATTTTTGTGTTGATGTTCTCTAAAACCTTGAAGCTACAATGTATACTTTATTTATAATTATCTTTCAATGGGACATTCATAATCTCGCGCCTTATGGGGTAACTGCAGCCCATTTAAGAACTCACTGCTTTCTAGCTTTTCGAGCAAGTTATTAGAAGGCAAGCAGCTCTCCACCGTAAAAGAAGGTAAAAATAATTAATAAATAAATAAACAAATTATTTTAGGGTTAGGTTAAAAAAAGAGTCAATCAACACACTTTACGTTCGCAGATTTTTTTTTTTTTAATAGTGCTATAGGTATTATCTAATTTTAAGTAGTTCAATATAATTGCGCTAAGCGGCCTGAACCAGAGGTTACTTGTGTGTAAAGCAGTGTCCTAAAACTGTTAGTCGCGTGCAAATATTACAAAAAACCTCATATTTATAACCTCTACATATTCACCCTGGCTTTGTCTTGAACTAATGATTACAATGTGTCAAGGATTCCTAACTGTCTGAGCAACATTATATACTCGAGACTGTGGTAAAAGCAGGGAAACGGTGTCGAAGAAGAAAGACGGGGGAAAAGAACGTCTCATTTGAGACGTTCTTTTCCCCTGTCTTTTTTCCTCGACACCGTTTCCCTGCTTTTACCACAGTCTCGGGATTTCTACATCATGATCAACATCCACCAGCTCGCCTGCGCACTCTCTGTTTTTTCATTAAATACTCATTCATTTATTTATACAACACTGTGTGAACAACCAAAGGAACACAAACCCAGGCAGCACGCCGACACTGGGCCAGCGTCGAGGGAATATTTCTCACAATATCGGTCCAGCTTCATGCTTTGCATCACGGCCCAGTATATCGGTTAACGATCGTTCTAGTAATCGGCCAGAATCGGTAAAATCATTCAAGTTCTGGGCGCAGATGAGCGGATATCGGTTAAGATGGCCGCGGCCGCTGCGGCGTCAGCGGACTTGGGCCAAGCCAACGTTACTAGAACCGATCAGTTGGGAAACTGCCATAAAGCCTGCTCTGAAAGAGTGGCACCGCTCCGTACTTGAGAACCGAGCTAATAGCGATCGCAACGCCGCCATTTCTTCCGCGCCGGCAACTCGAGGAACAGCACGTGACTTCTATTTTGGCTTTAATCGGCCATTTTGCCTCCGAAACAGACACGCTGGAAGAAACTTCAAGGGTGCCACCCCCGACTACCAAGCGGACGCGCTGCTAATTACTTCCGAAGTTCGGATGCGCCTCGGTCGGGATCCCCTACCTGAAATCACCGCTGAGACGTGGTTGTATAAAAACAATATTAATTGTGCCGCAAACCTTGTAAACTAAAAATTTTAGAAAACATCTCGCGCCCCTCGTTTTGTACTAATTTCCAATAAAAGTTACTTCAAAAAGTTTTTTTTTTTTTTTGGTTTGTTTGTACGGAAAAACCCAGTTCCAGCCGCTGATTGCCCGGCGAGCCCTCGGCGCGGCCCGTGGCATCGGCGGCGGCCGCCGCGATTGGCCGCCGCGATTAACCGATTCAGTATCGTTTTAAAAACAGTCAAGAATCCCTAATACCGTCCGATATAGCCTGTTCAGACCCGACAAAGTACGGGAAAACGGCTCTGGATGCTGTATATCAGCGTGGCGTTGGCCGATCGAAGTGATGTTTCGCCGACATCGGCCACATCACAGTAATAGTGGCCCGATCTTTAGGATTCACCGCTAATATCGGCAGTATCAGAATGATATTGGCACGATTTCTCCGATCCGACGCCGATATTGGCGCAATACTGTGTGCTGCCTGGGAAGGCAATAGGTGGATTGCACGAAAGCTATGCCAAAAACGTAAAGTTGCAGTGTTAACTTTCATTTTAGCAGAAAGAAAGTTATAATGGATTGAATGGTCTTGCTTGTGAATAATGAGACATATATCGATAAGTAAAATAAATGTAAGTATCTGCAGGCTTACAATTTTGCGCAGATTACTTTTAGGGCCAGGTTTTTATAAAATATAAACTTGCAAGGAAAGCTTACGCAAGCGTGTAGGACGTAATTCATCGCTAAGATTAGCACAAAAAAAAAGTGAAAGCCGTTTACAACTCCCTCTAACGCCGAATTGGAACGCAGCTCTTGAGGAGGAGGAGGGAAGGGCACTGAGGGGAGGGTATATTCCTCCTCCCTCCTCCTCCCTAGTGATCCTGCCAGCTACTCCTGAACGAAACGGCTCCGGTTCGAAACCGGCTAAGGGAAAAGAAATAAAAGTCTTTTAAAATCATTTTTCGTAGTAATGAAAATTCGGATTCGTCCCCCCTGCTCATCCACCCTTCTCCCCTTCTTTCTCCTCCTCCCATCACGGGGGTCACGTGATCTCTGGGTGGGGGGGGGGGGGGGGAGGGAGGGGGATCCGTGACTCGGGGGTGTCGCGCAACCTGGGGGTAGGGGGGCTTACGTGACCTGGGGGGGGGGGGGGGGGTCACGTGACCTCACGGTTAAGCCGACGGCGACGGCGACGCCGCTCAAGCCGGAAACGGGCGCCTAAGAGCTGCGCTCTACAGCGAAATAATGTATTGTATAGAGCTATTAGGATCCCCCGCAAAGCTTTACATTTCAACCGGCATAATTCTTTCTTTCTGATATGGTATGAACTAAGATAAAAACTACTTTCCCTTGTTGTTATATTTTTGTCCAGAAAAAATTGCGTTGATTTGGCGTCCGATGCACTCAAACTAACATAACTATAAACAAGTAGGGTCCTTCATCTTGGTGAAAACATTGGATGATGTATCACAAGAAATAAGCGATATATATATATATATATATATATATATATATATATATATATATATATATATATATATATGTCTGTGTGTGTTCACGCGGAGAAAGCACCAAGCCCCAATATAATGAGACTTACCTAAAGCTGGCCACCTAGAACACACTGCTCTGAGACCCACATATGTCTGTACTTGATTAAAATTACATTTTACATTGCAGCAGGTCATGATGCTGTGTCCAACTCACGGCAACCAGTCACAGGTGCTTTGTTTGTAGTATGTGCGGAAACAAAATACCGTTAACTAATTTAACGTAGGATAACGTTGCAAAAAGACGAAAACAAAAATATTCAAAATATCCGTCAAAATATTCCGGTCTGACATTACTTGTTTTAATAATATCGCTTCAATTTCCAGTAATATCCCGCGTTCCTGGACTGACAGGCGAAGGCTGTTTAACCGGAACATTATTAAAACTTGCCCCGACACGAGTGCCCCCAAAAATAAATAAAACTAAAAGGAGTAATACTGGGCGGCGCCAGCTTTTGCTAACATCTACGCGACGACATGTCTTTCTGGTTCGCTAACGCTTCCTCTGAAGTTGCTTTTGCACTCGCTTTATTTATGTGCGTTGTTTTTCATCCTTCCAATATTATTGTTGTTCATCAACCATTGTTGTCTCACTCGCTCCCTCTTTTTGCGCATTACCTAATTTCTATAGTGATAAATGAAATAATATTAAAAAAAACACAAGAAAAACATTTTGTATTTGAACTTATTATCATATTACGCAGTTTAATGAAAAAAAATTCATCATACGCCTTAAAGAATACACAAACGAAATTCGAAAGGAGCTTTGAATTTCATTTCCAACGTCTCAGGCGTACCATCCCGCGTTTAACCGGCCGTGTGCTGGCGCTACGGTCTTCTCCATCCAATACCACGGAAGAAGCCTGCACACGTGACCTCCCAAAGGGAACGGCAATGGGCAAAATCCAGTCACGTGACCGCGCACCTGGAACCCGAGACGATTTCGGTTGTTAACGCAGGCTGGCGCGTGGTCCACTTTAACCGAAATGCAATCGACGAGAATGCCGGCGCATCGCATCGTGGAATAGGCGCCTGAATAGGCGACCCGTGCAGGGCTCTATTATTGTGTTTCGCGCTCCTTTGATGTCGCGTTCTTACTCCGAAATTTTGCCCCTTTGGGGGAAAAACGGCCGACAAAGTTCCAGCCTTTGGGAGATTATTAGATGAGTCACTTTCCACTCTCATTGTTGAATCTGCCCTTTGCGCGTGGCTAGCTTTTACGGCTGTAAGCTTTCTTGGGGAGGCTGCGCTGTCGGTCCCGTGTGTTTTTTGTGTATGTACTTCATGCTCTGCTACATTTATCGAAGAAATTATCTTCTAAACTTAGCGGAAATTTTTATTCGCTAAATCCAACGGGGAATAACTGAGTCGTCGTAACATTGTGACTCTTAACATGACGTCTATTTTTTTTTCTCAATCCAGCGTAGATATGATTCCGCTAATTTTGGTA